CCTATCCCCCCCCCAGAGCCCCCCCCCCCCCCCCCACCCCCCCGCCCCCTCCGGCGACCACGTAAGCCACAAACGCCGCCTGAACAGGTCCCAGACTCGGATTATAAGCCGCCGATTCCGTATACGATCCCGCATACACCTTTCCCTCTCCATCCGCCATCGCGAAGCCCGACACGCTTCCGCTGTACGGCGCATGCGATGCCCTAGCGGCCTGCAAAGCCGCCTTCCTCAGCCGCTCCTCCAATTCCCCACCAAACTCCCCAACCTCCTCGATCAGATCGTTGAAATGGGGTTCGAGAAGCAGGGGAACTTCTTCATGAAGCAGATCGGAAGGACCGAAAGGGTTAGGTAAGAAATCGGAAAGCGGGCGGAAATCACCTGTTACCAGTATCTGGATCTGAGAGGCCGATCGGATCTCCTGGAAGAACTGGCGACAGTGACCGCAAGGTAACTCGGAGATGGCGATGAAGGGGATCGAGGTTTCGGAGTGTAAGGCGGCGTTGGTGATGAGGAATTGCTCGGCGTGGATGGTCTGGTGAAGAGGGACGCCGGGGAACTCGATGTTGGCACCGAGGTAGATCCGGCCGGAGCTTCCAAGGGCGGCGGCGCCGACATGGAATTTGGAGATCGGTGGCCGAGCTAGCTGCCGGGCGGCCGGAAGGAGAGCGGGAAGGAGGTCTCGGAGAGTTTCAAGGCCCTTCTCCTTGCGCATCTGTTCTGCTTCTTCTGGTTCGATCACGAATCGCGATCGGCGAATCTTCGCCGTCGGTGCCGCCGCCATCTCCCTGCTCCGGTGGAGGTAAGAAATTGAAAAACTGTTTTCAAATTTCCCTGTAAAACGGGAAGCTGTGGAGGATCTGCGGTGATGGTGATGGTGAAGGTGCCATTTAAAGCCGCCGGAGGCTTGTGGGCAAATTGGTAATTTACACTGATTGTCTTTATAAGTTAGGGGTAAATCAATTTGGCACAAACACCCCTTGTATTTTTTCATTTTATGGCTTTCACCTAAAAATCATGCCATATAACTCCTATCCTTTGAGAAAATATTTACGGGCTTAACACGCCATGCGTTTGACAATATGATACGAGACTTGGACATCTGTGTTTTTTCAGAGCGGAGAAATTATTGCATCAGGTATCCAACAACAGAGGATCACGTGGTGATTTTGGGTCCACTAACATACACGATTCGTGCCTGAGTTGTCACATGGCACTCAATTATTGGACACCTAATGCAACTTTGCATCAGGTGTCCTGATATAATAATTTTTAGTTTTTTGACGAGATTCTCAAAATATTAAATGACGAGTAGATGTTATAATTGTAAGTTTATCCTCTAATTAATGTTTTTTTAGGGCACTGATGTTATAATTATAAGTTTAACTTCTAATGGTCGTTTTTTGAGGGGGTTCTCAAATCTATTAAATGACAAGTGTGTTCATCCGATCGATTTGAGACCTGACAATCGGTGGTTAACGATTATAGTTTTTCCTTGATTTGCCTCGTTGGCTTCCAGCTGATCGTTACATCATGGTTCGATCGGTCGTTACATCGTGATTCGATTGGTTTGCTATGGGCCGATCGTCATATGTTCGATTGACTCGATCTTTAGGCTTGCTTTTGGGGAACTTTTGTGGCCTGGATTGTAGACTAATTGATTGATGAATTTTATACTCATTATATTTGATCTTGGGATTAATACAACATATTAGTAGGTATGATTTCTATTAATCACAGATGTCTCATCATAAAAGTAATTAAATTGGCATACAGACCACCCGTATTTCCATAACTAGCACCTAAAATTTGATTTTTATTACATTTATACCACCCAAAAATACACTTTCCATGCTTAGCTAAGGTGGTATGTGTGTAAAAAATTGAAGTTAGGAGGTAGATATGTAAATACATAAAAATCGAGTAATATGTAGGTAAAAACTTCCATAATTAAAATATCATAAAGAATATATCTAGATAATTTTTGGACGGTGGATGACAGGGCTAATCAAATCAGACGACCAAAAGACGGAAGAAAGACTATTTAGTGACGAAATTAGAATTTTGAATTAGAAGAGGTAAAGAATTCACTTCTATTTTTATATATAATTGTTTTTTTTTTAATAATTATAATTAATTTTGCTCAACATCCATACAAAATAATATTTTTGACTAATATATTTTAACATTTTTTGAAATGTGGATTATGCCCCAGCTGTTTTACGTTGTCGATTGGTTGTCACTAGTTGTCTTTGGGGTAGCCATAAGTATAATTGTGCTATTACTTGACAAATTTTCATATCCTTCGACCAATAAGTTGGTGAGATGATACTTATCGAAAATCATTCATCTTTCTGCTCGATCGGAATTTCTTGGTTCAGTCGATTGATTCATTCGGTCCCCATCGATTTGACGGATCGTAATGCTCGTTGGGGTTGATACCTTGACACGTGCCCTAAAGCATATTTTAATCAAACACACTTTAGTTTCTTGATTCTCTCATATATTATTAGATTGTAAATGCAATAAGAACGAGGGAATTAAGTTCAGTAGAAATTTGATTCTTATTAAATAACATAAGATGATTAAAACTTCCTTGATTTATGTGCATGTGATCGTTTATAAATAGGGGATGTTGCATTCCCAATTTTGCTTGATCCGTGTTTCCTTTTCTCAGTGTCCTAATTGTCCTCTTGAAAAAATGTCCTATGGTAGATAAACTTCTGAAGTCCCAAGCTTCCCTTTCGAGCAAAGTTTTACTTCGTGACTTGTTCACCGGATAGAATCAAGAGACACCATGAGAAAGAGCGAAGAAGGAAACTTATGGGAAAGAAGAGGAGAGGCTTGCCTTCGATTCGAGCTGGCTCATCTTGGGTAGTTACAGGATGCACTCCATTTGTGGTCGCATGTACCTATCAGACGGTTGTAATTGTGCAGTCCTCGCAATGACCTCTAGTGGCATTCCTTTCTGGTGTCCGTTGATCCCCATCGTTCATGCGACTTCACCCTCATGAGCCAATCGTATTTGAGGCGATATGTTCAATTGTTGAGCTTTTGTTTCCTCCTTTGATTGAGATATGGCCCCTCATCATTGAGAAGCAGTCCCTCGCGTCCCTTTTCACTATTCTTCTCGTGAGTTTGTAACGACCCCTCTTTCTGTATCATCTAAGATGTCCCAAGCCGAAGTATCAGAGTATTAATCGGGCCACATTCATGACCATTCACCTCGGGGTTTCCGCTCCACAAGAAAGAGCGAATATTGTAAAGGAGAACAAGTTGGTGTTCTGGTTCTTATTGTATGAGGAGTTATGTGTCATTTTTAGCTAGTATGGGGTTGTCCCCATGCAAGTAATGTCAATTTCAATAGCAACTCTATTGGCTTTCATGGTCCTGGCTTGTCAGAAGGGGATCGTTTGGTCGATATACTTTTTCAAATATCCAATCTCCATATAACTATACCTCAGGTGGGTGTGTTCAATTGTTGTTCATGTGTCAGTTTCACTTTCATCATCTTGAGAAAAAGATAAAAGATTGGAAGTTGAAGTTTTATTTTGTTTTTTTTTTCAAAAAATGGTTGGTTGTCCCAATAACATTTGACGCCATCCTCTTTCTGAAGGCCAAGGCGAACATTTCGCCCAAAGTGCAGCCGGAGATTAACATGATCAAAAAAGAGATTTTATACATCTGGTAATATTTAGAGTCTACGGCTATCAACAAGACATTGGCTCTCGATAAGCATGGTAGAATGGCTAAGATGGAATGACAGGTTTCTCGTGCCAAGACTTTGGCCTCAAAAAGAGCGAAGGAACAACCGAGAGAGGACGAGAGAAATGATAACAAGTTATCCAAAGTGTGATCACTTCTATTGTCTTTATTTCCTTATTAACCAAAAGAAAAAAACAAACAAAGAACATAATGACACGCTTTATCAATGAAATGAGTGTTTTTGGGTGCACCTACCTTATGTAAATTTTGTTGTGCTACTTGTCTATTTTGAATGACTAATTGATGATGTGTTGTTTTGGTTGTTTAGTGGCATCATGTAATGCTAATTTGGAAGTACATAAGAGGGCCAACCCAAGTGTTTAGAGAGAAAGTTTGACAGCCTATTTATTCTCCACATCATGACAAATAATAGTGGTGGAATAAGAAAGGGGGTGCCCCTCACCCCACTAAATTAATACTAATTATGTATGTTGTAGAAGGTTTGCCTTCTTGGCCTCTCTTGCGCCTAAGTTGATTTAAACATTTGTCATCTTTTGGAGATTTATATGAATAACTTGATATAGATTCATGAAATGCTTGCTTATATTTATTTATTGAGAAATTTACATACATACCACACAATTCCTATTTATTTACATATCTAACAAAAAAGTATGATATTAACACTTAGAAGACCTTGATGTCATAAACTTGTGCATGAACATTTGCATTTCACTTTTAAAAATTTGGTGACGGTTGTAATTTTGACGTGATGTTAAAATTTTGAGTGGTATGTATGTAAATATGAATATTTAGTTGTTAGATATGTAAATACATAAGAATTGTGTGGTCTTGTATGTAAATGCCCCTTATTTGATTACACGGAACATGCTCAATCATTTGTGTTTAACAAACAACCCACCAAGAATACAACAAAATATTCATTTAATGATTACCTAAAATTTTTATTCATCAACTTATCTTATATGATCGGATCAAAATTTTCTTTTAACTTATATGTTTATATATATATATATATGATGAAAATATCAAATAGATAGATAAATTTAAATATTTTCTCATCAATATTTAAAATTACCCAAACAACCGAAAAAACACTAATATATGTGTCTTTGTGTGTTTGTGTGCCTGTGTGTCTGTGTTTGCACACGAGTATCATGATCTGTTGGTAGAGTAGCCTCTCCGAAGATCGTAACTCCTCTCAGGTCACGGGTTCGAATCCCCCCATGTGTAAGGTGTGGTACTCGAATATTTAGTACACCTGAAGATGACCCAGCTCATCTAATAGCCTTCGGTCATTTCTTTTATAATTATATATATATATATATATATATATTATTAGCATCAAATAAATAATTAATTAGGTTTGATTAAAACTAAATTCCAGCTCAAAATCGATAAAAATTAATAAAAAAAATATCTTAAAACTATGATGATGTTTAACCTAGCCTCTATACAAAAACTAAAGGGAAATTTACAAGCATACCACACAATTTTTACATATTTACATATCTAATGGGCAAAAATTTATATTTTCACTTTACAATACATTGGTGTCATAAATTTATATATATAAAATGTGATTTTCATTTTTAAAAAGATAATGATAGTAATATTTTGGATGTGATTTTAAAGATTTGAGTGGTTGTTAACCTCACTTTTAGATGAGGTCTAGTTCTTCCTACCAAACGGATGTCATATATTTCTTAGTTTATTTGATCGAGTATCATCCTCAAGTCTTGTGTTTATCCTTTGGGATAGATACAGGGTTTGAGGTACAGCGTTCTTTCATTTAAACTATGAAAAATATGGGATCAGTTTGATTTCATATTTTTTTTCTAAACTTAAACCTATATGTAAATTAAAATGTCCTTCTGAAGCGGACAAAGGGATTTCGATTCCGGTGACCGACAACTTCTTACGAACAACTCTACAACCTAAAATAGTGTCGACAATGGTATGAATGTAAATATTAATGTTTAGATTTTAGATATGTAAATGCATAAGAATTGAGTGGTATGTAAATGCCCAAAAAATAAATGAAAAAGGTTGAACAGTGTAGTACCGAGCTCAACTTGGTTCATTTACAACACTAGAAAAAAATAGTACTTATCTTCAATGAATCAATTTTGATGGATGATTTTCTCTTACTAGTATTCATGACCCATGTCTTGTCTCCTTTGCTTTAATCCTCAAAGAAAAATAAAATAAAATAAAGGATATATATGTAAAATGAGCATGGAGTAATAGCTAAGAAAGAGAAAGGTTCATTTTATGTATAGTTGTGATTGTTAAGAAGAGGGCACAACCTATGAAGAAACATGAAGCTAATTATAAC